CACAACCTTTCTGAACAACATTTGACTAAACTGTCAAACTGTGACCCATAAGGAGGGTTGTTTATTTATTTATTTTGGGGTTGAGGTGTAAAGTTAGATGCGGCGCAAAGTCGTAGGGAAAGACTCGACACAGGGTTTGAGGATAACTCTGTCTTTAGTGGACAACTCGGCACACTTCAAGAAGCGCAACGGTTACTGATGGTCAAGACAAACCTCTGGAGACAGTAAACCAGAGCACAGGACTGAACTAAATGTTACTAGGTAAAGTGACGGCAGTAATCATGGACCCCGCACAGTTCAACACAGAGGAGCATGAGGTAACATTAGCTGGTACATTCATCACATGCTCCATGATTTCCACTGTACTATCAAAGTTAACCAAAGTTGCTGTATTATTCTTCTCACTGCATTAAGTGATAGCAGTACTCTAAAAGCACATTAGTGAATGTTGACTGCTGCAGTGGGAAAACTAGCATTGAACTGCAGCATATAACCGTTTTTGTTGAATTACGCTACGAAACATATGGATCTTAATGTGGAGAGGTGCTGTCAGAGGCTTCTGTGACTCAGAGTCATCGAGCAGTCTGGCAGCAGAGCAGAGATATTCCCCCAGAGAAGGTCAAAGTCAGGGGTGGGAGCTCACCGCTGTCAATCAATATGTGAACATGTTCTTGGTAAACTACTCCGCTCACACTGGAAGACGTCACGTTGCCCTGGCTGACTCACAGACTCAAAAGGTCCTGATTCCTGCGTTAACTGAGACAATGTATAAAACAAGAATGTAGATAAAGGGCCCTGTGAAGCATAATCGAGCAGGGAGAGGGAGGGGGAGTGAAATGTTAGTGCTTGCTGCTTGTAGATTTAAGTGATCTGTGTCTGGATATTTGTCAAAGGCAATAGGCAAGTTAATGCCAAGTGTAAATGCACACAGTGTGTGACAAAAGTTAGTGTCAGCCAGTGGGCACCGTGAATAATATGATTTCATGCCAATTCATCCAATTCAGTTCATTAAGACATTTCAGCTTGGGCCAAAGTGGACATTGACTTGCAGACGGATAGACAAACTAACATTATCATCCCAAGCATATACTGCAAAAATGTTTCACTTACACAATGGCCCATATTAGCACGACAGTCATTTTCTTTCTGTTCATAACAGCATTTCAGCTTCCCACCCAGACTGTGGTGTAAAAAAGGAAAATGGCCGCAGTGCGAGTATGGTGTATTGAGTAGACAAGGAGTGAGTCCCAGTGACGACTTTTCTTACAGTGCTCAAGCTTACCTAAGCATAAGGTTCATTAGCTGAAGCCCTTCCCCTCTGAGGAAGCGGTCCCGATTGGAGGAAAGCATGAGGCAGGAACACAGAGCGTTGAAGAGGTTCTCCATCATCTCCTGCTCCTCGGCCGTGGAGGGGTTGTGACGTTTAAACACCTGAAAGGGGAGATAGGAGGAGAGAGCGCTGGAAAAATGAGCATTTTGAAAAGAAACGCAGACAGGCATGCTGCTTTTACATGAAAGGTGGTTGTTCAACACAGCAACAGTTTCTGGAATGATTTGGCAAAATGAGCCTTTTAAGTGCTCAGGAGCAACAAGCAGAGTGTGACACAGTGATTTGACAGATAAGTACAATAATTAAGAGAACAGAGAGGCACAGTCTGAACACATCAGTAGTCTACACCTAAACTGGGTTATAAATTGTTTTATACTCTTTTGGATAGGCGAGTCATCAAAATGTCACAGGATGCTTAGAACCCCATGAAGATGAATCTATGGATGGAGGCTGGGGTTAATTGTTTAGGGTTAGACTGGGTTTAGTGCGGAGCCCCAAAAAGCACAGTGTTTATGTTAAAACCTGACTTTAAAGACCCCCCGTTTGAGAAATTACTAAGATTTATGAGCCCCTGCACGTGAGGCTGAAATGGATGATGGGTTTTTAAAAAGAGTAGTGATGGAGCCAACTAAAAATAGAAAGTAAAGGAAAAAATCTTACAGAGAGTTGCTGCAGCAGCACATCAATGCCATCCATCTCACCCAGTAGTTCTCTGGTATCTGTGTGAGAGAGAAAAAAAGTGAGAGGAAGGCTATGAGATAAAAATAGAGGAACAGGACAATGAGGGAGATTAAATTGAGATGTTTTACGGAAAAAATACATTTAAGTGGTGAGAGGGAGGACAAAAACAGGAAAAAAAGTTTAAGTGGATGGTTGAGGGAAAGTAAAAGAGAAATTCAGGGACGCAAACAGGAGGCATTCGACGGACGCTGACAAACACGAGGGACCTCAAGAGGGAAAATTAGAAAGAATGAGGGCACTGAAAAATATTTAGTTATTCCATCGAAACCTGTGCATGAAATGTGTTTATGCTTCCACACTAAAATGCTGCTTCTTGGTGACATCATGTGTGAGGAACCGTCTTCATCTCGACAGCCTGAAATCGTGAAGGTTTTAAATCACAAATAACACACTCAGGTTTTCTCCACTGTTTCATACATTCTTTCTCTTAACAGTGAAATGTTCATAACTCAGAGCAGAATTACATTTGTACAATACAGTGAATCTGCAGGGTCTTAATTAGTCGGGATTATAAGCAGCTCTAGTTCGCAGCAGCGAGTATTTTACATATAAACCCTTCAGAGTGGTGTTTCAAGTCAGATTTGACAGCAGGACGTGATAATTACATTTAAATTAGCATTTAAATAGTTGTCTTGTGACACGCCTTACTCCTGCATCAAGACACTGACAGCGCTATGATATGGAACGTTATTTATGGCAACACTTTTCCTTTGTTTTGTGAAAAATACGTTTTTATTAGACTGAATTTTGCATTTGAAGGGCAGGAAGGAGACAATAAATGGAGGCAGTGTGAAATGAAGACAGGGCTCCCGCTGAATATCAATATGGCAGGTATCATTAATGAAAACCTGTCGAAGGACCTGATAGACCTGCAGCCATCTGAGGCTTTACAGGGTTTTAGTGAAAGAGTGGAGGCAAAAAGACAAGGAGGGAGGAAGAAAAGAAGTGACATAGAGAGAGTGAAAGAGGAGAGGGGAGAGAATGGAAAGAACATGACAGGTGACATTAAATCAAACAGTGATGGAAGAGAAGAGGGAGGAAAGAACGTAAAAGACAAGAAACAAGAAAAGACAGTGCCAGAGAAGGTCACTGACAAAGAGAGATGATGGGACGCAAAAATTGGGGATGGAAAGGGAGATGAAGGACAGAAAGAGAACAAGAAAAGGCCAATATGGGCAGAAAAAAGAAAGAAAATTAACAGCATGGAGGAAAATAAAAGGACAGAAAAGGGGACCAGAAAGAAATGGAGGTGTGTTCGAGGAACCCACCAGCCATTTACTCACTATCGTTGTTTTGCAGCAGGATGGCCAGGATTTCACTGCAGTACAGCTTGTTAGCATCAAACGGTATCTTTGCCTGAAAGACACAAAAGTATTACTCATCCTTAATAACTCTGATGTCCAAGGTATTAAAGAAATTACCAACTTACCATTCTACAATTGAATCTGCATTTTTTTTAAACCATAAAGAGATGATACCTAAGATATTGTATATCATGGTGATATAAAGAAACACTGATGTATATCTTTTATTTTCTGGATTAACTGGGCTACACTACTGAAAATGTATTTCACATCAAAAATACAGGTTTTTTTTTTTTTGAAGCTCAAACTGCTTAAGCTGTAACTTCAGTGATTAAATATGAAATAAGTGTGGTCATCTGTATTTTACACACATAACCTTTTAATTATTAATAACAAGCCAACAGTGTGAATATATGGATGAGACATAAATCTATATCTAAACTATATTCCGATAATCCACCATTAAAAGTCCTCATAGCATGAAAATCTGTTTTGAAAAACAAAGTGCTACTACTTCATTTTGAAATAACTTTACTCCCTGTCCCTTCGATTACTCTAGATTTTCTCGGTAGCTGAAAATTAGCCAGCAAGCAGAACGTTTAAAGAAATGTGGATCAATGCAAAGAAATACATTTTAATACAATTTTGCAAAGACATCTATGTAAGATCATGTAAAATTCTATCTTGGGTGTTGGTTAAATTATTTGTCTTAGATAATTTTTGTCAACCACAGGTAACAGCCCAATCATTAGTGGTGGAATAATAAGGACATTGCTGCGACTTAAGATTTGTTTTTAACCAATATATCATGAGGTTATTTACAAAATTAATGTTTTGGTCTATGTGAAATCATAAAACTACAATTTCCTACAGTTCAATGTATTGTCATGAAATGTTTTATTCAACCAAAAGTCAGAACCTTAAAATTAGTAAATTCAGTACAATGTTATGGGAAACATACATTTTCCAATTTAGGAGACTTAAACAAATCAATATTAGAAATACTTACTTAGTCTGAAACAATAAATCAAAATTGTTGTTAATTAATTATCTGTCAATCAGTTGTTGATTAAGTGACTAATCGTTAATGCTCTAAAATGACCTAAGCAAATACTCTGCCACATTCTTACCTTAATTCTCTTGAGCAGCCACTGCATGAGTCCTTGCTGCGCGGCCTCGGCACACAGGCCTGGTCTGAACTCCGCCATATTTTCTATGATCGCTGAAAAAGACATCAAAAATCCATATTTACTCATCAAGCTGAATCATTGAAAAAATACCAGCTCCAATTTCTGAGACTAAATACGTATGGGTGCACCAATCTCAACTACTGGATCGATATGATAATGATCTTATTAAGAGGATCAGGGACTGGTTGGTCATTAAACTCGATTTCTCTCACACCATTATTATAGAATAAAGTGTTTCCACTCACTACCCCTTTAATATGGTCGAAGGCCAATATCAAAGCCTCCTGTCAGTCTCAAGTGAACATATACTGCGCAGACACTGAGCAAACACACTTTGAAGGAAGAGCACTGTGAAATGTAGAGGGTTCGTCTGGGTTCAGTCCCAGCTTATTCTAATATTGTCATTAGAAAGCCTTTTCTGCCACATGATATCTCCATCAGAGCAGACTGCAGCAGAAGGTGACCGACAGAGAGAGAAAGAGAGAGAGAGAGACTGTGGTGGTGGTGGTGATGAAAAGAGAGAAGAATGAGGAACTAAGAAGGATGGAGGGGAGAGAGGAAGGGACGAAAAGAGGTGGCGAAACAAGGCAACGATGAGGGATGCAAAGTAAACGAAAGTGAGGGAATGAATAAACAGCAAGAGCATAAAAAGGGAAGATGTGCAGCATACTGAAACAGATGTTTGAGAAATGGTGGTACGCATATTGATGATGACACCCTCGTATTCAGGTCATACCCTGAATTAATAATATTTTGGGATGAGCTGTCAAATGCTCTCAAAAAGAACTTCAGTAAAATTCGGGTCTAGGTGTGGCTGCTACTGTGCTGCATTGATGGAAGAGCGAAATCTTTTCTGCTACAAACACTGTTAAGAGCAGCAATCAAATGCATCGCCATTAAGTGGCTTAAACCTGACGCACCAACATAAAATATAAAGACTGAGAAGGTGTAAATAAAGTAGAACATATAACGTGCTGAGACTCAAGAACGATTTTATCTATGGTGGAATCCTGCCATTACTAAAGCTATTTTCAGACATGAACTCTGGAGAAGGTCCAACTAGGCCGGGATTTTCTCTGGAGTTTGCCTTTTATATGAACAACGCAGCAGGAGATTCTACACTGCGTAAAACCAGTGTCTTAGTTTACTGAGCATTGAAGATGATGAGGGAAGAAGTTACTGACTTGGTTGTAATGTCAATTTTTACATTGACAATTCAACAAGAAGGAAGAAAGCTGCAGTGTTTTGGATCCATGTCCAGCAGCAGAGTGACGAGGCCATATACGTAAATGGAAGCATGAGAGACCGATCGGGGAAATGATCTGGTTAAATGTTTTACAGAACTTTGACAGTATATGTTCAAATATTAAAGCAATATTTATGATATTGATATCTGAATCGAACAACCTATTCTGAGTCATTCAAGTATCTTTTCAATTTCATCTTATGTCTCTCTCCCATCATGATGTTTATTCTTAGCATTACAAATTATACTTTGAGCAAAAGATTTTGGTTGAATTATTTATGAACAATGTAGATAGAGCTGAAAGTTAAGAAACAAATTGCCAATATATGAACATCTCTGCTCAAACTAAAATATAACAAACTTAAAACAAGGGGGTGGATGAAGTTGAAGACCAAGAGAATTAAAAAGAAAAAGCAACAACTGGAGAGAGGGGCTGCAGATGATAAAGAAACATTGAGGAAAAGAAAGAGAAGAAAAGTTGGAGAGGAAGGGTGCTGAGGGAGAGAGCGGGAGCGCCTTTATCAGTGATTCAAACAGAGCAGACAGACAGCATCCTGGAGGACAGCAGGCTCAGAGCAGAGAGCAGCCAAGGCAGACAAAAGGCTTATTCAAGCTTGGAAAGCTCCCTTGATGACACAAACACACACAAATGCACAAGCGCACACACACACAGGAGCTTGAATAAAGGATGCACAAGCTCTCCTCCCTCGATATAACCCACACTCGCGAACAGAGCCAAACACACACACACCTTAACAACCCTCCTGACACGCGGCCTCAATCTGGCAACAGAGAAAAAATCATCTCAGAAGACTCACTGCACACAAAAAGAGCTGAGAGGCAGAAAAGTCGGATTCATGTGAGGCTAAACACAGAGACCATGACTTCTCAAACTATCTGCTGGCCCATGCCCTCTCTTAGACCTTGAGTCTTCATTTAACGCTGTCAAATCCACGCTCCAATGGTTCTGACTCTGTAACCTGTATGCTCCACTTCGAGGTCTTAAACCTCTCAGATAAAAAATACAAAACCACCCACTTGTGATTCAAAACTGCCTCTTCTTTTCTAAAACATTTAAATGACATCTTCTGTTCACTGAAAAAGTTTAGGGCACTTGACAGCAGAGGGACACACTGACACGGCTTAAAGAATACAAATAAACTTTGTCTACGCCCAAGCCCAAGTCCACGAGGACCCCCTGTCACTGTAGCGCCCAGAGCCTCAACACAGCCGTATACACACCTTGCAGGCATACCTCCCTCTGGAGGAGCTTGTCATGTTTCAATACTAAATAAGACGAGCTTGATCAGTTAGTCTTGCTCCAAATATGCAAATGTTATTGAGTTTTATCCAAACCTGTTTTTTTTTTAAATCATTCTCAGAAAAGAGCCACTGAAATGTCTCTGAGATGGAATTTGTCTGAGATTTCTCCCAGATATTTGTCCCACGTTTTGAATATGAATGAATGTGCAAAGCTGTGCTGTCACTGAAAGTCCCAGTCTAGGTCTTCTTTTGCTGCTGAGACACATGTAAGTGCTTATGTGTCTGTCCCACTGTGTGTTGTCTTTTAATTTCACCTCTATGCAAGTGGTGCTTTGTGTAGATCTGCTTGTTAGTAAGTTGTGTTAGAATATTAGTACATGTTTGTTCAGTTTTCTAATATAATAAACAGCATTAAAGAGGAGGATGGTAAAGATCACTTGTCCGACACAGCGCCTGTTAAAATAGTCATGGTGACAGTCAAAATCTACTTGCGTTTTTCTAACGTGTGCATACTATACATGGTATATAAGGATGGATGACATGACTGCTCCAACAAAGTGAAGCCAAACTGTCTACTGTCTTTATTGCTGGATAGTGGGAAGAAGTGAAGATGCGTTGTCAATCTTTATATACAGTCTATGGTGCATACCAATATAATATCAGTGTTACCATTCAAAATGCAGCTTTATAAGTCAGCATCTACACTGACAAAGCAAAATCAGATAATTGAATGACTGTAAAGAACACAAATTACATTGTCATACTGATTAGAAACAATAAGCTAAGCTGTATAACACAAAAAGCTAGTTGAGCTTTTTGCTAGCTGGTTGAAATTATAGACGTTTATTGATCTGATATTCATGGTGGATGGGGTGCAGTGAGGCCACATCACACTCAACAATAAAGGCCTGAGACTTTTGACTTGTATTTACAGCAGCAGGAACCTATAACACACAACACTAGAAATGAAACTAACCAAAATCTGAGTGGATAGCAAACTATGACACTATTCTTATATGAAGTCTTGCTCTTGTTTTAACCCTAACATCTCTAATGTTAAACTAACTATGTACTTAACTTTAAAATTCAGTCCACCATGAATGAGACATATAAGGAGGATATCTAGAATTTGAATAAGTAATAATATGACAAGGTACACTGTATAAAGAATCAGTAAATGACTTTGAGTAATACAGGCTTGTAATGTTACCAATGAACAACAACAGTCTTTCTTAAGGTCCCTGGTACCTGCTTTGTTGGCCTGTTTCTAAAGTGGTCTGAGATTCAGTTTAAAGCAGCATCATGCTAGAATTTGGTTTGCAAAGTTTTCAGCTCTTTAATTCAGATGTATTTTGTGTACAATTGCAGGTGACAGTGAAATTGTGACAGCTTTGTTTCTGTCTCTTTAACTATTTCAATCAATGCATATAGTCTGGCTGACAAAGCTGTGGTCTCAGGCACCCTGCAGTTAGTCAGAGACTCTGATTTGCATTGACAGGCAGAAACAAACAAAATATTGACAATTTAGGAAAAATTAACTAATAATTATGTACGACAAAGAGCTGAAAACATACTTTGTTGAGTTAATCATAGCTTGACTGCATTTCTGTCCAGGGATTATACATGGAGGATATGGCAATGAGGTTCTTGGAGGAGAAAATAATGACTGAATACAACTTTATTCATGGTAATGGAAGTATTCTAAGCATGAACACAAACATGAAATTATTTGTTTAAGGCTCGGTGTACATCTCCTTACCGAGTGTGTTGTAGATGCCGTCAGCCTCTTCTTTCACCTGCTCATCCAGTCGCTCCATATTCTGCACCAGCAAGGCCACCACCTGACCCTCCAGCTACAGACAGAAAGAGATGTCAGGGCTGCGACACACAGGTTAAACAAGACGGAAGCAGATCCACCAGGGATCAATCTCTTGACATACATATGATAAAACACATTTTTAGAAGAATTTTTTTTTTCTTATAATAACATTTAAATCACATGGCATCACACAAGCCAAATCATAAGGCAGTTTGGAGGAGGCGTATAAAACATTAGCGAGAAAAATCATGTGTAGGTTCACTTTAGTAACATTTGCATTTGCATTGCGTTGAAAAAAACCTGTCAAACTGATTTCACTAAGTTTCACTTTTAAGCCTTAGTCTGGGTAGAAGACACATTTCCTGTCTGACCATCTCTGAACATGTTTAAAAGCCGTCAATCTAATAAGGTTTGAAGACTCATAACCAAACAGTCCTTGCAGGGCGCTGACTAGCTAAATAAAGGAACAATTACAGATGAGAGAGGACGGATGGTCAACACAGATTTATGAGTCACTGGCTCACAAGTGGTGGATCATTTTTGATTAATCTTATTGAGGATACCACTCTGCCTTCTGGCAACAAGGATAGAGGAGCTGGAGGCCGCACAGCAAAGAGGAGAGACAAATGGATTCAACTAAGCCTTACTGCACTGAAAGTGTTTCCCTCGGATGTTGCTGTAAAGAAGAGGGTGGTTTACGGGCACTCTATCGCATGGAAAATGGAACTGCATGATGTAATGCCTTTAACCTCAGAGCATTGCAAAGCCACCTGAGCAACTCACCAACTGTCACATTACACACACACACACAGCTGTTTTTTCTTGTGTGATCTGAATGTTTCACATTCATTCCTGTCAGATACTAACCAAACAAAAAGAAAGTTCATGGTGCTCTCTATTCTAAAGTTCATTTTATAATGACCCTTCACTATAATGTCTCTTTCACTGAATCACTGAAATGAAATGTAAAATATCTCATACGTTTGGATGAAACTGTTCCAGGTTGCAGAGTATACCGTCTTTAAATTCCTCTCAGTTAGTTAACAGCATGAGTTGCAAGTGCTGGCTGTAGATAGCAACTGCTAGCTTCCACTGTCGCCAAATAGTGAGCGTTTAACAAATGTTTATGTTTTGCCCCAACCCTCAGACATATGGGGTCCACATAACAAGTATAATCGTCTATTCTCCGCTCCAGCTCTGCTTTGATTATTAGAGGTTATTTTATCTACATTGGATGCCTTTACATACGACTAGTAGTAGGACTGTTCAAAAAAGCCCTGAGACTTCTGGTGAGAAACAACCTGTTGATTGTCACTGGGATGATGCCCAGCACAGAACCTGTCACATTTAACACAGCAAACAGATTCTCTGATGAAGTGTCACAGCGACAGCCATGAAGAAACAGGGGCACACGTTTCTTTCCTCGTCTAACAGTATATCACCAAATTATTGTAGTTTGACCTTTGTGTGTACCGCAAAATGTCAGCAAACATAATTGGCCATCAAAATTTGTCCCTGGCTCATAGACAGCATGACAAGCTCAGTGATGGAAAGAGAGAGAGAGAAAGAGAGAGGATCTGAAACTTAAAACTGATGCCAACACACACAGTCTGCAAGAAGGTGCTGTAATTGTGTAGATGACATTAAATGTTAAGATGTTGACTAAGTTCACGACACTTAATAAAACTGATTCATTTAATTGCAAGAACATCTGACAGAGGCAAAACATGATGAATTAATAATCGATAAACTGAGACAGAGATCATTTAATTGTGTGAATCTTTGTGCCCCATTTGAACTACAATGTTTTAAAAGTTGAAAAACTGGAAATCTATTGTACCATGTTACATTCTAAAATTTACTGTAACATAATTCTACAATTACTAAAAATGACACCCAGTTGAGGGCATACATTCACCAAGGCCCACCAGTCCCATACATTTAATTCACTGGATCTGGATTTTTATTTAGATCTGCACCAAATAGCACACACTCGTAAATATCAGTATCCTAAACATGCTTATTTTTTCATCAAGATCCATGAATTAACTTCGAATTAATTTCGAAAAATGCCATATTAAACAATGTTAAAGAAAAACATTACGGGTCTGCCCCCTGATCCAGATCCTACCCAAAATGTATTAGGTTCTTCTCTGACTTATACTAAATCCTTCCACCAAGTTTTGTAATCTGGTTTACTAACAAAGGGACGGGCGAAAACATCCCAAATTGACAGAGGTGATAATCTGCTTCTTCTGGCAGAAAAATGTTATAGTGCATCAGTGGATAATATACAGTATATAAAGACACTGGACTGGAGCAGCATCATTACAACAGCTTGTAGTCCAAAAACATAATAAGTCAAAATGGCTGCGTGTTTTTCAGTAAATGAAGTCAGACAGGGCCTCGCTTTTGATTCATTAGGAAAGACAAGGGAATCAATCATCTCTGCCTGGTTTAGATGTCAGAGCCCAGAAACTTAAGTATTGACTCCACAAAGTGCTGACTCATCAATATCACCTGGGAACTCACCAGAGCATCTATGAGCACCTCAGCCCCCTCCTCGCTCTCCTGGAGCGTGTCGATGTCCGTCAGCTCCTGCAGCAGGTCCACCACCGCTATGGCAACATGTGGTTCTGGCTAAGGACAATAAGACGGTGATGCTCATTTGCTGGGATTATGATATTAAATTAGTGTTGCCCAGTCTATGCTCGGGATGACCACAGTAAAATCGTCCAGTGCTTTTTGTGTCGTGACTGATGATGCTTATGGTTTTAGTTACCATATACTATGTACCTACTGCAAAAATAAACTTGGTTGTTCAAATTGAGTTAAGTTAATAAACTAGTGCAATGTTGGGTCTAACTGATATGATTTAATCAATGGCAACATGGCAAAGAGATATGAGGCTAAAGACATAGTAATTGCTACTAAAATCAATTCATTGTCAGATAGGGTCCTTTCAAGACATTTGCTGACCAAAGAAAAAAATATGGGTCATACTATCAGGACAAATGGATCAAAATTGACAGACAGCATCGATCTGTCCATTAGTGAAAGGATATCAGTGTTTTCATGACTGAGGAGGCCCAGCAGTGAGTGGACGGAATTAAGCTCCACTAGCAGGTGGTAGAGATCTGGCATGGTGGCGATTACGTGCATTTCCTGTATAATGTCGTTTAGATCCAGCTCCGACTCCATGAACCTGGTTTAGAAGACAAGAATTTTTGGTTTGCATGTTAGCCATTAATCTTAAGTGCAGCACAGGAATGATCATGACGTTTACAGGTATTATGCCATGATATAAAGAAACATTTCATGAAATTTAGTTAAATCATTTTTTTTTAAATGTAGTAAAGTCGCAAGACCACATAAAAGTTGTATAATCTTTTGCAGTATGTCAGTTACAAAAAAAATGCAATGAAATCCTCAAACTAAATGAACATTGTCACTTGACGTGGTCATTTAATGGACTTACTTCTCTGGATTGTCTGGAAACTTAATCCTCAGTTCCTGATTTTTGTATGATCTTTTCTCAAAGGTCAGGATCATTTTCTTCACTGAACTCTCATCCACCAGCTCTGCCTGTTTGATAAGCACATAATAGGAAAGAGAGAAGGGTGGGAAAAAGGAGGAGAGTAAGACAGAAAGAAAAAGGGTTTTATTGAGGTAAAAACAACCAAAAGATGTCATGGTAATAAACTTAAATTTGAGCCCATACAGAATGAAAGTAATTATGTGAGTGGAGCAGAGTACCCAGAAGTTTTCTACAATCAGAGGAACCTGAGTGCATTTCACTGGAAAGGGAATGTGCTGGACCTCATGATGGCTTAAAAGCCTGTAAAGTGTTGGACAGTTAATGATAGGTTGGGAAATTACAATTGTCTGACATTATGGAACAGTGCAGCACTTTTCTCTGAGTAGCTCTTGACACAGTGAATATTTTAAAAGGCCGCAGTGAGGGATAATAACAACAGGATAATAGATGTGCACTTCACTAATGCACTTCATAACATGGATACAAAGGTACTAAAAAAGAATAACTGCAAAGAAACTTTATTTTCTTTGCTCCAGACGTTTCTCCATTTCATTTTCTTTTTCTGCATCCACTGCCTTTGCAAAGGTGTGAATGTTGTTTTAAATGTCTGGACTCAAAATCCACTCAGGTCGAGTGAACACAGATGACAGACTTAAGACTCTGACCTAAACAGTATATCCAGAATTTGAACTATCACAAATCTTTGCACACAGTTTGTGAAGCTCATCTATTAAATAGCCACTTTATTTCTTTTAGTTCTCCTAGTTTACAAGTAGTCAAATAGGCTAGTTGAGATTCATAAATTCAACTGTAATTGTCACCCCTGAACTTAACCATTACATGGCTTAGAACTGTTGGTTGAATTTCTGTATTTATATTTTTGAATATTAGAAATATTAGAGCATTAGAAGGTTAATAATATTAATCACATATTACAAATACTCTGTGAACTCGGTTTTGTCCTGCATTTGCATTTGCCCCCCTTATCATATTTTCCTCAGCTGCTTTCAGACATACACTGAACTCCATATATCTCCTGACATCATCTGGAGGGGCTGTATGTAAGTGAAGCTTATGATTTCAAACTCCCGGGCAAAGGCTTAAACTGGACTTCTGCTTCAGGTAAAGGGTTTATAGGAGCCCCAGGTCCTGAGTTATAGTTCTACATAACATTTCTCCGTATCAGCTCCACAACACTAGATGCCTGCATCATACAGTATAGAATCATACAGCAGATTTATTATCCCCCGCAATATTAGTGTTACACTTTCAGTCTCTAACTGAGACAAGCAATGGCGGAATAAGAAAGCATTCTGTCACTGTGTTTATGCTGTTTAAATTACTTTGATGGAGAGCGGGGGTGGTAGGCAGAAGGTTATAAGTAGACATGGCTTTGTTAGATGAGTGGCAGAAAAGGACAGCTCAGTCTCTTTTTCATATATATGTTGTCTTCACTCTAAACAATCTTTAACAGCATGAGAACCTTGTTGGAAAAAACACAAGCAGTCCATGTGGACCAATCACAGTTATATTGTCTCCAAATGGTATCTCCACCCAAATGTGAAGATATAAAGATATAATTCAGGATTTTAAGAGAAAGGATACATATTAGTTTTTAGTGTGTAGAGTATAATGAGACAAAACAATGAAGATTAACAAAAGTGGTTTGACTGCAATGTTACAATTTTAATTTCATTCATCTCTGGTCACTGGCCGACTGTTGATAAACCTCAACCTATTTTGGTAGAAGATAATCCTAGCATCTCTACTGTGCAATGAAAATGAATCAGTTGTGACTTTAAACATTGTATGGATGTCACATGTATGTTTTGATGAGACTAGGCTGGTTTAGATGACGAAAGATAACTCTGCTCGGAAAATCAACCTTAAATCTATCCCGGCCCTTTATAATTAAGAAATGGAGATATTGTCTTTGTTCGCTCTGGGATGAACAAAATTCAACTAGAACCAACAGCAACAACAACAATGGTAAATACACAGTAAAACTTATATGTGTACATATCACTTATACTGACTTACAATAGTGTAACTGCTATCTGTGAGTGACAGCGTGTCTAACTGATGCTTAATATGTGGAAACATATGTGCGTTAACTTTTTGAGTTGACAGTGACAAAGACACTTTTTATTGCTATAAGTAAAAATAGAAGCTGTTTTCAGAGGGTAGTAGATTATTTTAGAATAAACATACTTTGCAGGGAAAAGGGACAATTCTATAATAATAATTTGCCCACCTCAGGTTCATCTTCATCCTGGTCCATCAGTTTCTCCAGGATCTTCTTCTTGTCTCCAGTCAGCTCCTCAGCCTCCATCCCTCCTTCAATCCCAACTCCTGCTGCGGCTTCTCTGTACCTGGCCAACTCCCTGACACTCTGTCGTTTCCCTCCTCTGGAGTCCTCCTCTCCTCCTGCTGCTCCTCCATCATCCTGCCTGAGACGCTTTGCCCCTCTATCAGGCTGTAGGATAAAAAAGGGATGGTGAATTTAAATTGTGTGAACAGGAATTTGCTCTATTTAGAGATGTACATATCTATAGGGATGCTGTGAGATCTTGAAATGAAGTGTGCTCTGTGTAAAATGGTGTGGAACCAGAAAGTAGACTCTCTCTATTCTTCCTAAAGTTTGACACATGCAAACTGATCGAATGAGAGATAACGACACAAACATAAGGCACTGTATGTGATAAGATAAGATCAACATAATTGGGGTAGACAAGAGAACACATGAAAGTGTTAAATCGAACAAAAAAGGGAACATATGTTCCCAATTGTATAAAAATGACAGAAACTACTAGAAAACACAAATCACTGCACATCTTACATTTAGTTTCCATCTGGTTCTTTCTTTAAAAACTGTTTCAAATTGCACTAATATCAGCAGCTACTCTCAGAAAATAACATTTTGAAAACATGTAAAGAGGTGACATTTTACTGAAATTGGGTCTTATTTAGAGGTAAAACACGTGCCGAATCAACAAATAAATACATTTCCTAATATGATATGAAGTGTGATTGTCTACTATTTTTTTTTTTTTTTAAATGCATCAATTACGATAATATTGAATGGAATTTGGCACACAATGACTTAGACAAAGCAATGGCCCTCAAAGACGCATTTGTATTCATCTCAATCCTTCAGTGTGTAAAACTAGTTATGGCAATAAAGACATAAGTCTAAGTTACAGTCTAATGATCGCAGGCTCTCTCTACAGTCTCTGCAGCCACAGAGCTAACTGTTTAGCTAGCCCGCTAACTACGTAGTACGTACGTTGTTTAATGGAAATAACACCTGGAGTTAAGTTGTTCATTTGTCAGGTGCTACACAAGGAACACTTAGTGTTATTCTTTGGTGGTCTACTAACAAACGCACACAGACACAACAAAGTACAATGCTAAAGCTTTGTTAAAGTTCAGAAGTAACTGCTAGCAGAGCTACAGCATGACGTCTAATGAATGAGGTGAGCTAATGCTAGCTGAGTTAGAGTTCCGACACTGACACGCAGAGTGAAATGTCTACCTGATAGTTGAGGAGCTCTCCGACATCCATCTGACCCGGTTACAAAGCTCAACCGCGTCACCGTGTAGTCCAGGTGTAGGAAATAGCTAGCAGTTAGCAGTGCGGCTAACAACAAGCTTCCTTGGTACACATGCCTGCCGTAAACGGGGGTTGTTTGTTGTCGTAGCAACATACTGTCGTAAAGGATTCACTGGTAATACAAAACCCTCAAGGTTTAAAAATGTGATAACTTGTCATGTCTACAATTAAATTAACCGTAACTATATGTATAAAGCCCATACTTACTGAATGAGCTCTGATTAATTTAACTTGAAATATATTTTTTAAATAAACAGAAGGCTGTAATTTCACATCTTTCTTCTCTTCTGTGCTCAGTTCAGTTTTTTCCCTTTTTTTATTTTCTTTCTTTTTACTGGCTTTCTCTTCTTTGACACACACACACACACACACACGCTTGCATCAAGCCAACTGATATATATATAAATAAATTCAAATATATAATAATATATATACAAATTAGTCATAAAAACCGGAATATAATATTATAAGTTATTGAACTGTACTATGGTCCTCTGTGTTATGTACTGGTACTGTTTTGTCTTCTATTGCAATTTTAAAAAAAGACGATTAATATTGTCACATTTCAGGTCTTAAGATCTTGAGAAGACACATGATCAAACTAATGGCAAAGCACATTTTTTATTTAGTGTTACACAATCTCGGTCCAGTCACTACAGCAAGTAAGGCAGATGTGCAGGAGAGCTGGTATAGTATAGTAAAGTATAGCATAGAATAGTATAGTATTGTATAGTGCTTGATGTTTCTAGCCTTGTAGTATAACATATATCACTTTTTTGAAGTTTCTAATTTTTTTGTCGACACTACGCCAGAAAGCTGTTGAATAAAAGTTTCTGTTAGATGTCATTGTTTGTTGAGATGTTGTACTGAACTGCATTATAAAAGGGGGCAATGGATCAGGTTTTATAGGACAAGGGTTTTGAGAAAAGGGACACGGAGCGGAGCACATCGCACTGTAAGGAGAGAAAAGCAGGCAAGTCAAAACAGAAACACAACACTGTTCATTTCATCAGGTGCTGGACCCAAGTCTAGCACACATGTTACAGGAGCAGGTTGAAATGGTTTTATTTTCCAGAAAGAATGCAGTTCTGTAATACTGGGAGGTCCGGTGAAGCTCGCGGATGAGCAGAAGGAAAAGGGCAGATTGAGTAGTATTAAAAAGGGAAAAACCACAAGGAAAAACCACAAGGAAGCAGAACTGAAAATCGTTTTTCCGTCTGTCATTAGAAACATAATGAACGTCCCCCTCTGGCAGGTGAACTCTGCAAAGGATCTCCTGCTGTGTTCCCACATAGGCTCCTTAAGACTCACTGCAGACTTTATACTGTAGGGGGCTGGCTCTCACTCAGACATTCGCGTTCATACATACGCCTCCTCCAGAGTTCAGTGCATGTCTGAAAGCAGCTTTAGAGAGACACACAAGGAGCAGCAGACAGACACAAGGGGAAACACAGAAAAACACAGGGGAAGCTGAGGTTGCGGCCATGGCCCTAGGAGCTACAAGTAGAACATATCTTTTAATGGCTTGAATGCAAACTGACATGCAGACTACGATCTGGCAGCGTTGCAGTGGGTATTTCCAAAGATCTTGGCTGCAGGAAGTGATGCAGCAGGTGGGACTTTACTCTAAGTCCAGCACACCTGTCTGTCTCAGCTCAAGCACTCAGGTTAGACAGAGGTGGAATTAACTGCTACATTTACACATTTTAACAAAAATATGTTTTTCCCTCGACTAAAAGCCTTGAGGCTCCCTCACCAATCCAGTCCTCTCATTATACAAATACAATTAGACATGATTTCCTCATCACAACCTGCACATGAAATCCTGGTCTCAATTTTGTTGCATACCAGCAGAGCTCGATACGCCAAGCTGGCTCATTGTTCCAGACAGGCAGAAAATCACCTTTTCAATGAGCATCCCTGGGAAATGCATGGTGCATGGTGAGTAGAGGCCTCCATTGCCACTCCAGTCTCTGGCTAGTGATCTGTGACGGTAGAGCAACTAGAGAAAAAAACATTCCTGGGGAGCTTGATGTCCTGAACTTACAGGGTGAAAGAGAGTAAAATGTACACAGAAATCCAAAGCAGACAGCGTCACATGAATACAAAGCTTTGATTGAACAAATGACATAGTATTTTTTAGAGGTCAATAACTGAATTTGAGTTAATAATAAAAATAGACCAATATTTCCAAAATTATGTCTTGGTGCTTTAAAATGAATGTTAATGGTGAGTTATCACAAGAAAATGTATATTAATCAAAGGTTATATGTGCTTCCAGGCTTATCATTGATTATGTTGGTGATGGATGCACTGGCAGCTACTGTTCGCTGTGTGCACAGTGATGATGAGCTACTTGTTCATGTGATGGGCACAAGACAGGGACTGTAGCAAAATGTTACATCATAATACATGTGTGAAATGTTCAATATACATTTTTTCTTTTGAGCAATTTATAGATAAACATGTTGACAGAAAATTCTGACTTAAATTTGATCCAAGTAAACCTTTGGTAAGTAAGTTCTACAGCCATGGGCTTTTTTCATGGAAATTTTTTTGACAAGTCACGGTAATAATAAAAAGGTGCCTCACTTTCAGCAGTTGTGCATCATAAGATTTGGCTCAGTGCGGATTGTGCAGGAATAAATACACTCAATTTAAGAGCTGGAAAAATTTGATAAATAAGTTGAACTATAGTATTCAATATTTTTTCCAACATGGATAAAGACAAATAAATCTGCTTTGTTTTGAGCCTCAGAACATCCTAGACCACACATGAACTCTGTTATGGAGACCCAGGAGTGTTCAGTATTTAATAAAAAAAAACACAGGCTGATGTATTACCATAATATCTAATACCTGTTCAGAAGATTCCAATAAAATGCCATTTGTTCAGCTACAGACTGATATTTGACTGTTTAGATTAACAATGTTACTTTTTTCCACAAAGTCATGTCCGTCACGACAAACACACAGCACAGCTAGTTTTTGATTGGCTGTCAGTCATTCAAACCAAAGCAGCTTTACTTCATGAAATAAGCATAAACTATGCTATACTACTATGCTATGCTATGCTCTACTACACTACAAGGTCCTTAAGTTTTGGAGTTGGAGTATAAGCTATGCTATACTATCCTATCATATCCAATCCTATACTATAAAATACCACACTACACGAAAATTACACAAAACTATACTATTCTATACGATACTACACATTTGTGCTACCTGCTGTAGTGACTGAACCCACTGAAGTAATCACATATTAACTAGATGCTCGTATCTCATATCTTGATTTGAATTGAAAATGTCGGACCATCTTTGTGTTAAGGTGAATCCAAAAATAATTTAATGGTATTATAATGAATAATAATAAAAGATTTTATGATCAGTATGTTCGCCAACGAGATCAACAAACTGGGCGGTCAACATCTGTTACATGTTCTGTACTAACATGTCAAATACATTCATTAGCATCCTTAACTAACTCTGAATGTCCTCCTCTGCTGCGAAGCTGCTGAAGTGATTACATCTCCTTTTCATTCTACACAATGATTAACACATTTCACAATCCCTGAAGGAGTCGAAAGCTTTTCATACACAACTGTCTGCTTAATGACATCTCCTCATCATTTGGTGTGGGATCATTTCCAAGGAATCATACCTCCTTTTTCTTTTGCAACAGAACAATATCATTTTCACACAAGCTGTGAGGGCTGATTGCATTAAATCACATGAGGCCGGTGTGATTGCATCACGCCGTGGAGGCTGACATAAGTGTGCTGGAAATTCACAGTGGCAATGCTATTACTGGGGGAGAGAGGGAGAGATGATGAGGAGCAACCGTCTTCATCACCATCCCTTGTCCTAAATAAAGTGGTGCCATCAAATGATTTTCTCTCCTCTTAAGTATGATTCGTGTTTTGAATCACATCAACAGCATCCTTCATCAATAGGTGCTTATCTGGATTTCCACAACCCTGAGAGTTTGTGAGAATTAGTTGGAGTCACAATGCATGATGGTTATCTATGCATGGACAATGGTATCGTGAACTTGCCAATACAGTACACTTCATTACCTAGTGGATCAGTTACATGTACAGCTGTCCACTGTGTATGTTCATTTTATTTATGACAGATTTTTGCTTTGACACTTTCATGCTTCTCTATTCATCAGTGCACTGTGCATGTTTTATTTCTAATAACATGAACCTCATATGCCCATCAAATTCTGCTGCTTTGTCATGTCCCTTGGCATCGACAGATGCACAAAGTGTCCTGCATCTGAAAGAGACACCCTGTCCTTTCAACTGACTAAACCCAACTGTGGCACATTTTGACTCTTATATTAAAGGCCTCGGCCATCCATTCACTCAGTTGTTTTATTCATATTTTATTTTTATATTTATATTATTTTGTTTAAAATAACTCCATTATAGTTTCCTAGCTGGTTGACCTGAAGTATTTTCCTCGCTGTTCATTGGGAATTCCCAAGTGATGTCGTTTGTAAGAAGGTCTTTGTGACTGACGGCCGTAGGAACCCCGTGTTAATGATAATGATGATTTAATATGTATAGACGGAGGAGGCTGGCTGTTCACTACATTGTTAGCCTAGCATGCTAAACATTTATGTTGAACTAATTGTGCTGGTAAATGATCACAATGGATTTTCCACGTTTTTATGTGATGGCTATGATATATCGTGCAGAGAGAAGCTGAGAACACCAGCTGAACTCTCTGATGTCGGGTGATTTTTTAAAAAGAATGCTACAAAACTGTGAATTATTAATATTTTCACTGATTTCCAGTGGCACATGAGAAAACTGAGTTGAAATTTTCTGTCTTGATTGTGTATATAATTTGTAAAAATGTATTTTATGTTCTTGAGGGTGCTTTATAAGTGCATGAGTCATTTTTCTTGTAATTTAGGTTTCTGTCGATGTTATTCTTTGTTGAAAAAATTCACATCAAATAAATGTTTTGCAAGGATGTTTTTTGTAATTTTAAGTAGTTTTTAATCTCACTGATGTCT